CTCGTGGGGGCAGATGAAGTCTTCCCCTCCATGGGGGATATGGACCTATCAGCCTTCCTGAGTCAGATCAGCAGCTCTTAAGAGGGGCTGATACTTGTCCTGGGGCCCCTGGGCCAGCAGGGGACATGTGGTCTACTCTGGATACACCTCTTGATGCTGCTCCTACCCCCTTGAATTTCTCTGGGGGAGCTGTCTCCCTGGAGATGGGAGGAGTGAACCCTGTCTTAATATTTTATCTGCAGTATCTCTCTCTGTTTTGGAGGTCTTAAGTGAAAGCATTAACTCCTCTGAAAACTCTGAAGAAGGGGGTGAGTGGAGCGCTAGGGAGGACTGCAGCTCCCAGTCAGGGAATGAACCTTCCCCCGACTGGTGGCTCCTTGGACCTGGGAATGGCGAGCTGGAGGAGGAGGGGGGCCCCCACCTGGTCCTCTCCTCCCCTCCAGTCGTGGAGCAGGGTCTGAAGTGACCCTGCCATCCCTGAGCGCCTTAGACAAACTGTGGGCCAAATTAGATCCCCTTCCTTTCTCTGCACCTGACACCAGCATCCTCAACAGCATTCAGACAGCTCTGCGAAGGTCCCTGCGGCTCTGCGGGTGCGTGTGGCCGGGCGCGTCACCCTTGCCAGGCTTTTGGAGGGGGCAGGCCCCTGCGTGTGCCATGTGCCTCTTTGCTCAAGTGCCTTAAGACGGGCGGGTTCCCCAGTGGTCGGGGGACCGTGAGGGGTGGGCTGGGAGCCCATGGGGCTGCTGATGCCGTGTTCTTTCTACTCTTAACTAATAAACCCCTCTCCAAGCTCTTCGGTGTGCTGGCTCCATTGAATTGAAACCCCGAGAGTTCACAGGCCAGTCCCTGGGCCAAGGGCATCCCCTCCCTGGCTCTGGGGCTGCCCCGTGCCCCCACCGCCCTGCTTGGTTCTCTCCCCCAGGAGAGTGGAAGCTCCCTGAAGGCAGGCACCCCTGGCACAAAGTAGATGGGGGTTACGCCAAACTGGGGCTGGGGAATGGGATGAGCCGTACCCCCAGATGCCTTGCGGCCCAAGCACAAGGGCCGAGGCCAGAAAAGAGGCGGGACTGACCGCTAACTGTTAACGGGTGAGTTCTCTGCGCATACGCAGCGGTACGACTGCGTACCTACCCACCTTCCTCGGGAGCGCAAGTTTCCTTAAAAAATCAGCCACGCCCTAGGAGGCGCATGCGTACGAGAATTACAGGCTCCCGGGCTGGCGCATGCGTGCTATTTTGATACTGCGAGCTCCCACGAGGAAAGGGGGAGGGGAAAGTCTGCCAGGAAACGTGATGAGTCGCCAGTTTGCAGCGGCTTCTACCGGCCCGGGGCTCCCTGAGTGGGGCGGAGGCCGTCCCCTCGCTGACGCCCTTCACCAGGAAGTGCCTGCCACAGGACACCGAGGATGGATGTTACGGAAGGGACACTATGGCCGGCCAAGCAGCTGAGCATGCGCGCTCACACCCGGGGGGCGGGGCTACGCTCAACTTCCTCTCCCTTCTCTGCCAAGTTGGACATGCGCGATGCAAGGAAAAGGACGTTCAGTCAGGCTCAGGCTCCCGGAGGTGGGCGGGCCTCCTGTATTGGAGGCGTGACCTAGCGCGACCCCGCCCCCGGCAGCGCGCGCCCTCTCGGGAGGGGGGAGAGTCGCCTTCAGCCCCAGAACCCTCTGACTCCTGGCTCGCCTGCTTCCACCTCGCGCCCTGCCTATGGCTCCAGGGGCCAGGCTCAGGAGCCCAACCCCACCCCTGTGCCTCAGTTTCCCTCCTTGCTTCTTCCTCCTCCATAAACAGCAGCCAAGCAAGGGCTGGAGAATGAATTGCAAGGGGCCCCCAAGGTGGCCGGATGAGGACGTCCCCCAAGGCGATTGGAGGCTGTGTGACCTTGGACAGGTCCCCTCGGGATCCTCTTATGTGGAATAGGGGCAGGGCCTGGACTTGAGTCTGCAGCTCAGTCTGGGGCACTGGGTCCGGGGCAGAATTCGAACCCAGAGTGTCAGGCCAGAGGAATACTGACGATGTACTTTAGCAAACCTGAAGACTCCACGGACGTGGAAATGCAGTTATTTTTGTGACTACCACCGTCACTATTGCTGTTGTATCTGCCTGGTGTCTCAGTCCCACCCTTGGGCCCCCAGTGCAGAAACTGTTGAGATGGGAAAGTGACTTGTCCAAGGTCACTCCCCTCTGGGAGAAGAGACATAACAGAATGACATTAAACGCATCCATTTTTCTTGCTTTAAAGTTGGGAGGCTGCCAGTGATACTGGCCTCAATTTACACATGAACAAACTGAGGCTTCCAGACGCTGAGTGGGTTGCATAGCTGGCATCGGAGCAGGGATTCCAATGTTCTCACTGACCCTGGACCATGGTCTTTCCCACAGGAAATTCGTAGGACGGCAGAGCTGGAAGAGAAAAATGAGGTGCAGCCAGGGTGGACTGCCCCAGGTCACATGGCCAATGAGTGAACAACTAGAGGTGTTCCCAGAGGCGGTGGGAGGCTACTTGGGAAGTCAAGGAGAGGATTCTGGGCGGTAGGATGGGGTGATTCTGCCTATGTCCCCTAACTCACTCCTGGCCTTGTTCTGGGGGGATGGGGTCCCTCTCTAGTCACCTGTTCCTCCCATCAAAGCCGGCCACGGGCTAGGCCTTGGAAGGCCTCTCCAAAGCTCAAACCACGGGGCTGGCCTTTGGAGATGCAGGAGAGGAGATGAGTCAGCCAGCAGGAAAGGACCACAGCAAGGAAGAGAAGGTGACTCAGTTCTGAGCCTGGGTCCCGGGTCAAGGCAGGGCCGCCTCAGAAGTAGCGACTTGGCACGGAAGGACGTGGAGGCCAAGCCCAGCTCTCCATGGAGAGCTGCTGAGGACCTCGGTTTCCTCATTTGTCAAGAGTTAGGACCATATGTTCTCTGGGGCTCGACGAAACAGCGTCCAGACGAGAGTCCAGGACGGGGAAGGGCTTACGCGTGTTGAAAAGTTGGATGAATGGAGAATGTTTCCTTTGGAGAAGAGAGAACTTAGATGGGAGGGAAATAAATACCTGGGTATTTGGAGTGTCTTGTGGAAAAGGGATTAGTCGTCTGAGCAGGAAAGCAGAACTGGGAATCATGGAGGGTGGGCAAAGAGGGAAACTGAGGCTTGTAAGAATGACTGCCCGGGGAGGGGGTGGGCTCCCCTCTCCCCAGGTCTCCCAGGTCTCTGCCTTTGCCATGGTCTGTCTCGAACTTTGCCGGGGGTCAGCTTTGCTATCTCCACAGTTTCTTCAAGGCCTGGAAGCTCTTCCAGGGAGTGGAGAATGGGGGGGGGGGGGGGGGCCTCGGCCCCCCCCCCCCGCTCGCTCGGGACAAAGGGGGGCTCGGGAGGCCCCAATCAGTGGGGGGGCCCCCCAATTGATCAGGGAAGTGGGAACCTGGGGGCACACCTCCCCCTCCACACTCTGGTGAAGCCAGGCTATGCAGCCTCTGGTGAGTAGGGGAAGTCCTGCCCGCCCCTCCAGAACCGTTCTGGCCCTCCGCCCGTGAGACAGGGTGGAGGAGGGCTCTCACGTCCCGGCTGCCTCCTCCTGTCCCCTTCTGGGGTGACAAAGAACCCAGGTTTCCAGGCAAGATAAGCCATTCTGTCCGTCTTCCTCCTCTCCCCCTCAGGACCCATTTCCTTCCCAACACATGTCGATGTGACTAGAAGGCCAGTAAATACAGCTGTTTGTTCCCTGGGTGCCCTGTGGTGTTTGGGTGGGACAGCCCTGATGTGGGTGAGACAAAAGAGCCAAGAAATAGGCCTCCCCCTTTCCCTTGGGGGCTTCACACTGAGGCTGCCCATGAACTGACAAAAGGCCTCTCAGTCCAAGCCCTGGAAAGGGGGGAGGGGGGAGGGAAGGAGGGGAGGGGAACTGAAATCCACAGAACCCTCCCGAGTGTGTTGACTGAATGTGCCACTAATTGCATTTCTAATTCTGGACCAGTACAGCGGGGCGCCCCCTTAAAGCTGGACAGAGATGCTTTCTGGACTGGTCTGAGGCCAGCGTCCCTTGTGTAGTGGGAGCGGGCAGTGCAGTGGGAGCCAAGCTGCCCCCAGAGGCAGGCCAGGCTGAGACTATAACCCTGGCCCAGAAATATTTACACAAATGCTGTCAATGGTGAGAGCTCCTTTCAAGGTGATGCCATGGGAGGTATTCTGCAGCAGAGCCAGACCACTGAACTAGAAGGAGACTAAGGATGATGCTGGGGGGGCAGGGAGCAGTGTGGTTTCTAGGGCACCTGCAGGGAATGGGGCCCAGACTAGAACAGAACAGTGAGAGCTGTCATGGATGAGGAAGCTACAGAGGTCCTGGGGAGGGCAGGGAGCCAGAACCTTCTGTGTGACGAGCGTAGGGAGATGTTCTGCCCAATCTCTCCCTCACAGGGCTGGGCAGAGCCTGGGATTCTTCTCCACAGGCAGCCTCGCCCTCTCTGTGCTCCCCACCCACGTGTCCTCAGGGCCTGGGCCAGCCACGGGGAGAAAGCTGGCCTTGGAGTCAGAAGACATGGGTTCAGATCTTGGCTCTGACACTTAGCTCACATAACCTCGACGCTGTGCAAGTCTCTCGTCCTCTCTGGACCTGCCTCTCCCTCTAGAAAAGCAGGGACTGGGCCTGAAGACCCTTCTGGCTCCAGGCGGACATTCCCATAATCCTTCCCAACCCGTGGCCTTCTCCAGAGCCCTCTCCTCCGTGCCCTGGACTTGTCTCCATCCTGCCCTGGCTCGGGCAGACCCCTCAGAGGCAGAGACCTCGGTCCTGTTCTGATGTGGAGGGCCCAGGCCTCTAGGATGGAGGTGGGTGACCAGCCGGTGACCAGCAGACGGGGGTCTGCATGGAGCAGACAAAGCTGCCTGCCCTTTCATCCCACCCCATCCCGTCCTGTGTGGAAAGAAGAAGAAAGAATCCCAGAGCAGACCCTCCTCCCTGTCCACCGTCCCCCTCCTCTCCCTCTCACTCATCACTCATCCACTGCTACTTGTCTCATGTATGTTCTTTACTTTTTCATGCCAAGGACGCCTCTGCCAAATATTTACAGAGGGGTTGAAGAAGCCAGGCCTAGGAGGTTCTTGAGAAGGGCCAGGAGATTTGGGGGGGGTCCTTTTATCCCAAAGTACACAAGGGATTGCGCCATTCCAAAAAATGAGGGTACATCCTCTCCCCTCTCATGCCAGATGGAGACGAACTGTCCGGCTGGAGCGGCCCTCCGTTGGGTGGGGAAGGACTGGCGGCCCTCCTTGGCGGTGGGGATGGCTGAAGCGGCCCTCCATGGGGTGCAGACGGACTGTCTGGCTGGAGCGGCCCTCCGTGGGGCGGGGAAGGACTGTCTGGCTGGAGCGGCCCTCCGTGGGGCGGGGAAGGACTGTCTGGCTGGAGCGGCCCTCCGTGGGGCGGGGAAGGACTGGCGGCCCTCCTTGGCGGTGGGGATGGCTGGAGCGGCCCTCCATGGTGGTGGGGAAGGACTGTCCAGCTGGAGCACCCCTCCATGGTGGTGGGGAAGGACTGGCGGCCCTCCTTGGCAGTGGGGATGGCTGCAGCGGCCCTCCGTGGGGTGGGGACGGACTGTCCGGCTGGAGCGGCCCTCCACGGCGGTGGGGAGGCAGGTGGAGGCAGGAGAGGACCCGGGGCAGCTCTGATTCTTCGGTGTGCTGTGACTTCTGCCCGTTGGGGGAGTGGGGCTCAGGGGCCCGGGGTTCCCAGCTGCTGGGAGGCCCTAAGCAGGCGGGCAGCAGCACTCTGGGACTCAGCCTGGAGGCGCCGGTTATTATGTCGAAGATTGCGAACCTCTTCCTGCAGGGCGGCCTTGTCGGCCTTCTCCTGGAGCGAGGAGCAGCATGGAGGGAGCTGCCGAACACCCCCCCACCCCCCGCTGGGGCCTGCCTCCCTCCCTCCTCACCTTCTGCAGGTCGTCCTGAAGCTTCTTCAGCATAGCCTCCAGGTGGGACACCTTCTCAGACAAGCTTCCAGAGGATGAGCTGTGGGCAAGGAGGGCACCTGAGGAGTCCCCCACAGAGAGCTCACCCGCCTCGGGGCATCCCTTCTCCCTCCCCCTCCCAGCCCTCCTGGGCTGCCCCAGCAGCGAACGAGCCCCCAAACCCGGGCGTCAGGGGCCGAATCCCCTCCTAGGGGGTGGCACTGGGCAAGACCACCTGGAGAGAGCGGGGCTCCCCCCTCCCCTGCCATGGTTCCATTCAGGGAGCCTCAGTCCTGGGCTAGGAGAGGATCCTTACTCGGGCTCAGCTTTGGTGACTTCCCTGGGGTCTCCACCTTCTGGCAGCTGCTGGCCTGTAATGATGCCACCATGTCAAGGCTCCTTCCCTTCCACACCCACCCACTCCATACAGCCCCATTGTACAGATGAGCTAGGAAAGGTTAAGGAAGCAGAAAGGAGAGGACTGGGCAGGGCCCCCCAGTATGCGCTGCAGGCCGGACTCCCCACCGCTCACCGCCCTGGAAGCCAGGCCCGCAGGGCTCACCCTCCCGGGACAGTGCCTCCAGGATGATGTTACAGGTAGAGGCGATCTCTGAGATGGATTTCCACTCCTCTTCGAGGGGCTCGTTTCCAGCCTCAGACAGTACTGAGGGGGAGAGGAGGCAGGTGACGGGCCTGGCTCCCCCGCCGGCCACCCAGCCCAGGGCAATGCCTCCACCCCGCCTGCAGCGCAGCAGGATGACTTACTCTTGCTTATGGAATTCCTCAGGGAGAGGGTCCGGGGCAGGAAGGAGTCACTGAGCTCTCTCGGCAGCGGCGCCGGGTTCTCCATGGCCTCTTGTCCCAGGGCAGCGTCAGGGACAGCCTGAGTTGGGGCGCATGGTGAGGGCACGGATGCCCAGCTCGCCCCCCGCGTCTCCTAGGTGGCTCTGAGGAGGTTGCCCTGGGCTGCTGGGCTGGTTCTTACCTGGTCTGAAGTCTCACCCCCAGCCTGGCCAGGTTGGGGGGGCTTAGGGGTGGCCACCAAGAGGAGGTCTGGGGTGGCATCTGGCAAGACCGGGGCCCCATCAGACGGGGAGCTGGGGAGGCAGTGAGGGAAAGGTGAGGGCGGGGGAGAGACGCCACTTCCTGCCGCCCTGCACTGGGGATGAGGAGGAGAGACAGAGCCCAGAGCCCAGAGCCCAGGACCGAGAAGGGTGGGGGACAGGATGAGGGAGGCCGGTGGGGGGGCTCGGCAAGGAGCCGATTCTGACCTTTGGGGAGACGGATCGCTCTGACTGTGCAGAAACTCGGTCCTCTCCTCAGGCAGACCCGGAGGGGGGCTGGGCACTGGGGAGCCGTCCTGCAGGCTCAGCGTATGCAGTATCTGAACTGTGGCTGGGCACAGACCAGCCCCTGGGGACCCCTCAGGGCCCGGCCCTGGGAGCCCCCGCCGGCTAGGCTCCTGCAGCGACATCTCATAGAGCTCAGAAAAACTCCTGTGGGGAGAAAGGAGAGGAGAGGAAGGGGATGCAGGCAGCTGTGCGCAGATGGGGAAACAACTGAGGCCGGGGAGCTTCCTGGGAGGAAGGGGATGCAGGCAGCTGTGCG